ACAAGGTAATGTTTGTCATAGAATAAAGTTTAATCGTAGCATAAAAATACGAAATATTTTTATTTTATTATTATATGCAATACAATATACAGATATCTCAATTGGCTGTTGTGTTTTTATACAGATTCAGGCTTTTTTAGCGTGAAACTAAGTTAATCGATCGTGTGCGAACTACTTTTCCACTTTAGGCCGACCTTCGAGCGATATTAGAATTCTTGTAAATCCGGGCGAACTCGGCCTCTCTTTTCTAATATTGGTAACATTTGCCTGCACGCAAGGCATAAGTGCATTTATCCTGTAAACTGGGACAAATTGGAAATGTCACATAATGACGAGGACACTGATGATGATATCGAGATAACGATGTCGAAGTTACAAACAGTCAACATTTTGTCTTGGGATGTTTTCTCACATTAACTTCAAAAAATATAAGCTGAGTCTTTAATATACAGATGCTAAATATGAGTATATAAATTATTACTGATTCAAACTTGCTTGAACGTTTACATTTGTTTATATTATTAACATTTATTAGGTTTACCTACATTTATCACTCATACGTATTATCTAACTTAATTTATTATCATATATTTATTATAAAAAGTATTCTGCTTTAATAAGATTCGTGATGATCCTGGGATATTCAAGAGACAAAGTTAACTTGAGCACTAATATCATTCAAACTTCTTCGACATGTATCTTGGCATCCATTAATCCATCTATTCAATTAGCACATATAGATCCTTTTTCTTTAACACTTTGAGTAATTTTTTTTACAGAAAAATATGCGACATCTATTTGAATCTTATAAAAAATAAATCTTATTTTTGTCAACGATTTACGATTTGTAAATGTTTGTCACAAAAACTTCGACTATCTTTGATCAAAACTTTTGACGATATACTTGTATTGATGATTTTTTTTATGTTGCCTATATAAATTATTCGGATCAATTGTTAATTTCTACTAAGCTTACTGCAACTCTTTATGCTATTTGTGCAAATATATATGAGCAGATAATAATTCTAATTTGAAAATTTGTATTTGACAAAGAAAGAGAGAGAGAGAGAGAGAGAGAGAGAGAGAGAGAGAGAGAGAGAGAGAGATGGAGAGAAAAATATGTGTGTGTATGTGTATAAGAATGAAAAGAAGAAATACATTTCTAAACTTAATTACAGCATAAGTTTGCATTTTAAGTATCAATATATCCATACAGCACCAAAAGTTGCAGCAACATTATTGCAACGTATGCAATATTATTGCAATATTACTGGAACGTTACAATTTTATTGGAATGATCTGTTGTATGGGTATTGCTTTGTTCTATTCTCGGTAAGATTATCTATGCTTATCATAAATGAAGTAAACTGATAAGAATATTATTCTAGTTCAAACAATAGTAATATTACCTTCTTAAACATTAAATGATTTATGTCACACTCATATTCTCCATTTCATTCTAGATATACTTTAAGCATCATCTAGATTGAAAGGCCTTAAGAGCTCTCGGTGTCGCTTTCACAGATTATTGTATCATAATATCCGCTTTACAATGCTATAATTTTTCCAAGTAAAGTTGATCTGTACTTTAAGTAATTAACAATCTTTTATTTATTGATCCATATCAATATGAATAAAGTTTCATAAATTACGGATATAATAATTAGTAAATAGTTATGATTATAATTCACATTTCACGTGTAAATAAAATGAAACTGTACATTTAAAATCTATGTGTAAATTGAAAAATTGTTATCTTAAAATATTGTATACATATAACATTATTTTACATTTATCATATAAATTTATTATTATAATTAATGAAAAATATAATTTATTTTTATTTTTTTAATTCGTTTGCATTCTTTTTAACGTTTGAGAAGAATCATCAAATTTTGTCCAATTTTTGTTATGAGACTTAACTATCTCTTGGAGATTTTCCTAAGTATTTTCGTTGATTTCCCCGTATAAGTACAATTATATAGTACTTGTAAGTTAATGATTGTCAGAATGCATCGCCAGTTTCATCTTATCGTGACTATCAAGCAGCAAACGCCAACTTTGGGTCTTACATCGTCTTACAAGCGAAGTTTTGCTCTTTGCAAACTTTGAGCGTAACCATTTTGAGTTGCTTTTTATTTAAAGTAATGTACAAAGTATGTACAGATATACCCATATATATAATATATTCATATAAATTGTAAAAATATATTGATATTGTATAATCGTAATAATATTGTATAATTGTAATAATATTTAGTAATGTAGCTAATCAACAGTGATAGTGTACAAGTAAAAAATGAGTAAAAATTATATTTATTATTATATTATATATATTCATTATTATATTATATATTTATAATGAAATAATATATAAGTATATAATATCGTTTGATTAAATATATACCAATTTGATTATACTCTTACATATGTAAAATAGTAGTCTATTATTTTATACATATTTTACAGCTCATAATATTTAGAAATACATAATGTCAATCCACGTTTTTAGTGCATGCATTTCACAACCTTGTATCTGTGACAAAATGATTGATCAGCGTATAATGAAAAACATTAACGGAGGTTTTGCTCACATTTGTGATGACAGCAACATATGCGAAAATCGCAATATTTGCAAAAAGTCTGACTATCGAAAACACAGATTTAACATTGTCACAAGTAATATTCTAGAAGAAATTTCTAAGAAAAAATGATTATAAAGATAAACGATTCTGTTTATAAAAAAATTGCACTACATGTTGAATTAAATATATTATATTGTATAATATAAAAATGAACAAAACTATATTTTCAAATGTCTTTTCGAATGGCTTTTATTTTAATACAATTGGTAATTTCATTTTTATAGGATTTTTATTACCTAATGATTATTAACATATATAATACTTACTGAAGCAATGCTTAAATTACATTGATACTTTTTTTGATACTTATTTTTTATTTTAAATCTATATTTTTAAAAAATGTGTTATTTATATATATATATAAAGAGAGAAAAAGAAAGAAGGGAGATGAGGCAGAAAGAGATTTAAAAAATGATGTTACATGTATCTATAAATTTATACATAGGTCAAAAATTTAAATGACGGATTTATAAAATCAATGACGTATAAATAATTTATGCGTGTGTATATGTATACGCGTGCGTGTGTTTTAAAGAAGATACGTGTGAAAAAGATTTATTAACATACTATAAAATGTTGGAAAATTTAAGAGGTCAAGACGATTTAAATGCAATATTATCATTTATTGCTGTCTATAGATTGCTATTACTTAGATATCTATAAACAGTCTATAAATCTTTACATGAAAGTGGTAAAGAATGGCGAAATTATTAAAATAGATGGCGGTATATAGATGTAAAGTATCATTTTGTTTCAATCAATTCGAAATTAAATATGTATACACGGGAGTATACACGCCTAAGGAACTAATCGAAACTACCTTGTCGTGCTACAACAATAATCGCGATTGTGGTTCGGTATGTTCAACGCGATTGAAGTTTCCGGGAATCTATCACGTGCTCGTTATGTCTTCAATTATACATGTATTCACAAGTTTTTCTGAAAGTTGACACTATTTCGAGATAGTGTTGTTTTTTAATAGTTTTATCTTTAATTTTAAGACAATTGCAAAGAAAATATGTATGATTGATAAATATTTCTGAATTCAAATAATATCGTAATAGCGCTCAATCAAATCGCGATTTCTATATCGAGCGATCTCGTTTGCTACTTCTATCTTAACTGCTATGACTGCTGGACTGTGTATTTTGTATACATTTGATCTACATATGTATTTGATATACATATTTTAAGTTAGAGGTTAGTCAGTTCTAAGTATTCTTTAACACGATATTCATAGTTCGAGTACATGTGCAGTTAGTACTAATGGAGTTGTAATAGAGAGTAATCTCAATAATCCAGAATGATCGAATAAATTTGATATTGCATAATGATTGTTTACATAAATCGTTTTATTTGAGAAAAGATAAGTCTCGTTTTTACTTAAACTGTCAAAAGTTTGAAAATATACGATACAAAAGGCTTTTATATTTATGAATATTTTGTGAAACGTAACATATATATTCTAACAATTCTGACGAAATTTATACATAAACATGAGACTTTAATAATTATCTGATTTATCTGCTAAACTGTATAAAGACTATGATATAGCAAACAATTCATATTTTATACTCTCACGATATGATATGATCGACCACGCCCGCTCTGAGCATGTCAGGAATAGAGTTCACCGATCCCGCAAAACACGTACAATATACGTTTATATACATTTTTTTCAAATTCATAATCGATTTTATATGATAGTTAAATTTTTAGAATCAATAAATGACGCAACAACGCTTGCATACGAATGATGAGAGCACAGAAAAATTCTCGAATAACATTAAAAGTTCATCTGCGATCACTATATTTCTTCCAGCGCGAGGAAGTTATATTAGTCGGGACAATCGTGAACTAGATAAAGCCGATTTTCGCAAATCGAATTTCTTCCAAGTAAAATGCTTGACTCAGAGAAACAGAAAATCAAATAATACATGATAAAACTAGTTATAATCTTATATATTGTTAATAATCTATTTAAAATAAAGTAACTGTAGTACCCAATGTGATATACTCACTGTTTGTATAGATAATTAAATGAATAATTAAATCTTTATTACAACCATGTAAATATTGAAAATGTCTCATATTTTCAATTAATATTCAGAAATATTTTTTATTTTAAACCTGACCATCGGTTTTCACAATGTTGGACTCAGTAAAAATTGCAACATTTGGATAACCCATATTGAGTACAATTATCTTATCTTTTCGTATATTATGCTACATTCATTTACATAAATAATTAATATCTTACATCAGCTCTATTATCAAAAACTTATATGCTAAACTTTATTTGTATATTATCTCTTTTCATAACTACATGAATAATTATTTTTTTTTGGTTTACAGCCCTTCGTTACTATCATCATTTGAACAACTTCGATTATCATCGTTCGTTCATCAATCATCAGATCTTTCTATAAACAAGGAATCGAGTGCAAAGGATCGCCCTGGAATACGTTAGAACTTATCAAAGAGAATTGCGTGATCGAGTCTGCATTCAAGTGCTTCTCATCGTGAGATAGCGCATCTACGCGAAATGATCATGTGACTGTCAACGTCTCATATCCAGATCTCTACCGAGGGATGTCCTCCTCCGCGGATACCGCTTGCACGGACGCTGAGGAGGACGCCGAGGATGTGGAGAACGACGTCACGGGTACAACGGCGCAGTCGTCACGTTACCTGTCGTCGTCGTCGTCGTCATCGTCGTCATCGCGAATTCGTCACCGTCGCCGCGAGAGCGATCACTTGGAAGGATTGCGGTTAGATGGGTCATCGGTCGTGTATCGTCCATCATCGTCCGACGACACTTCTGGGAGCACTGTCGAGGACTCACGCCCATCGATGTCTTGGGTACGTGGATAAGAAAAGGGCATCGTCCCGTTCATCACGATCACCGTTAACATACGTGATCATTCTCGAGGGACGACGGCCAGGTGGATCGATCGGCGCCATACTCCGATCGATTGTCCACCTCCTCTTCTTCCCTCGCAACGGCTCGATTCTCAGGCTCTTCCAGCCAATACTTATTCCGCACGAATTCGACGAATTGCACGACCACGAACGACCGACTGCTGGACCGATCGATAGATCGCTGCGGTCAACAATAACAGCCAGTATCTTTGAGACGAGGTCAGGAAAGTCGATAAACGTATTCGCCGAAACGAGCGTGCGCGGTCAAGCACGTGCGACTGGAATTTCGAATGAGTACCGAACGTGCAAATCGATAAACGAATTTGAAGCGCACTCGAGGGTCTTCGAAAGGCCAGGTGAACCGTCGACTAACAACGCGCTAGTTACCGCTGGTGTTGAGCGATCTTTTGGGCCAATACTAATTCTTTTAAACATCATCGGCCTTCCAGTTGAATTGTCAATCCGATTTACAAAATCGATCCAGCGAAAGAATAGCAAGACAAACCGGCGCGAAAACGTCGTTGATTTCAAGAAACAAATCTCGATAATCTTACGCCTGAACTTCGTCTGCCATCGATTATCAAACGAGCGAATAATTATACGTGTTAAACACGTGTCAATTTTCTTGCGTAAATTGAACAAACCGGTAAATTACTTTTTTCAGCCGGCTATTCTCAAGGCGATCGATTTCTACGAAACCATTCATTTTTCTTTCTCTTTGTCGAGAAAATCGTTGATACACGTAGCTGTCCTATTCCGAGCTGCCGTGATGATGTCAGGAAGGAGGACATCGTTCAGGTGACGAAAGAAGTCGTCGCTCCTACCTCCGCTATTATATTTATCGAAAAATCGTCGATGGCAGACTTTTTTGAACTTCCACTCGACCGCCTAATGGGATAGTAAACGATACGAGAATCCACGACAAGAAAAATCTCCCAAGAAATTTGCGGCCTTCTCTGTTTTTCGTTACTCGTCGAAAGTTTTGGTCGACTAAGAAATCGTAGGCAGCCGATAATCTTCAACGCTGAAACGAAACGCCAAAACTGAATTAAAATTTGTTTCAACTATAAGTTTATAAGCAACAAAAAGTCTCATTGATTTGTGATTCGGAAGTGATCATGAGGACTACCAGGCATTTTTTCTATCAAGAGTGCTGCGGAATCATTTCATGTGAAATTGTAAAATTCCTCTAAAAACTAAATGCTCATTTCGGAGAGCCACTTGTTACACAGTTACATAAAATCGCGTTAAAATTGTTTTAACGAATTTTAATGACTTTTCCCGAATAAGTGCTAGCGCTAAATAGTTGGCGCGCGTCGTACGATCAATCTAATGAATCGCAATGGTGAATTGTCGCGTTTGAGCGTTATCGTAAACGATTCCAAGTGCGTGAAGTGCATCGTCATTTTGTTATGTGTTTATCAAGAGATATATCTGAGGTGAATTACTGGTGATAACGAGTGAAAAGAGAAAGAGCAGAAAAAAAAATACGAAGGACTTTTGTCATGTATCGCAAGCGGCTTATAATCATCTTAGCCAGCATAAGCTGGCCGAGATCCTGATAGCCATCGCAGCGACCAGGATCCGGGATCATTCAACAAAGAAAGGATGCCAGGGGGGCGTAGGGGCCTAGTAGCCCCCCAAAACACATTCCTGGAGAATATCATACGACGCAGTAGCAGTCAACGTAAGTTTTTGTTTTTTCTTATTAAAATATGTAAAAATAGATAAATCTCGACAAGCATACAGAAAAAGATAAATCGCGTTTTAACTATATGGTATCTAATATTTTTAGCGAAAATTTTACAACAATTTTTCAAGCTATAAATGATTGATAAATAAAAGATTTCGTACACTGGAAAAACGAGAACAAATAATAAAACGGTTTTCAGTTAAATTTAATGAAATTTTAATTTGAAGTTTAATAACAAAGAGATATGGTGTTAAAAATTAGAAGATTGGAATAATTATGATAGCTTCCCTCAAAATTATCTCTTTGAATTTTTATCACAGCTTCGAATTAACTAATAATCCTTCAAATCATTAGAATTGTCATTCTTACATACATATTCATTTAAGATAAAGAGGGAAATTATTAATTATTCATTATATACGAATTAATATTCTCTAGTTCTAATACTAATTCTGCATTATTATTAAGCGAGCATTTAGAATGATTTCGCTAATTTTATGGTCGCGCAAATTTTATGCAATAATGTTTCACATATTATCGTGATGTAGATTTAAACATTATAAATAAACTCTTTGACAGTTACGGAAGGATTAAAACGAATGAATCATTTAATTTGATATCGATTTGCTTAATTAGGATGTCTTGAATTTCCGGAATCTGCAGGAATTTGCTATATTCATATACGTATATTCGAAAGTGGCAACAGCAGTTAAGCTAGAAAATGAAGGTGAATCTATTCAATTATATTTTGATTAGTATTTTAACTTATTAGCTATTTGATTTCAAAGAAGAATGCACAAAATATCGCGTACACATTTCAAATTCTAATTACATTAGTAAGCCCTAGTGGCTAAAATTTTGAAACTTATGTTAGCGGATAAAATTTTGAAACTTATGTTAGATTTGATTAAAAGTTTAACACAACTAACAAAATTATGCAACTTGTGATTTTATTCCTCTTCTTTTCTCCAAACAAGTGTTAAAAATAACACGTAAAAAATTGTAATATAATCCGAAATGTACTTTAAAAATAATATTTATACAATAATTTTATATTTCTGGTTTATAATATCATCATTTAATAAACATACAGCAAAATTAAGTTCTTATGTCGATCCAAAGTTATATGTGATAAGAAGATTATACAGAATATACGTAATATATTTTAACTCCAAAATTGCATTAGATGATTAATTATAAAGCGGTTTAAATATATTACGGCGAAAAGTTACTGACATTTATATAACATTTATATAATAAGATAATTATGGTAGAATATTATGGTATTACGAGTAAAAAGGAAAAGAGAAGTTTATTTGTTTATTCATTATACGACTGAAATATATGAAATTTCTATTCTAGTTATTGTTGGCGTTTATCATGTTTATGCGGAGTATTGAGAAAGACTTTTTTATGAAGACCACAGAGTCTCTTAAATTTCCTTCGACATGGAAGGTATTCTAGAAATCCCCTTTCTTCTTAAGGATAATAAATCCTATTTCGAGTGCTGTACGCACCATATAGGATTGTCAGTACTCTTCTTTTTGTTTCTTCACGTTACACGTTGCGTGGCGACGCTCCGAGAAAAAAATGATGTAAATTTATTCAGACTTTTTCTCCTGGAAACTGTTTTGCATGACGTAAAATGTCATAAAAAACGAAAATCAGCTTAAAGAAAGTCGTCACTTTCAGCTATTCAACAATTATTCAATGTTCGAAAGATTTACATTTAGTTAGCATCATTTATGATGATTACGGTATTGAGAACAATATTTTTTAATGATATAATATTATATACAATATTATATCATTAAAAATATTTTATATATATATATATATATATAATATTATATTAGGTGTTGGAATTAATTCGTAGCGTTTTACAAGTGATGGGAAGTACTTTCATTAATGTATTTTTTAATGCTCATGTGAAATAAATAACATTCTTTCATTAAAAACGCTACG